AAGCTGGTTAATGATTTCTCTGTAGACAACTTGGTCTTTCAGTTTTTGTGCTGTGCCGGAACAATTCCAACCCAGTGAAGCATTTTAAGATTTGGTCTGATTCTTAATGTTCAAGGAATATTCTGGAAATACAGTTATTCACTGCCACCTCTCGATGCTGGGCCTGCATCTTAGAAAATGCAAATTACGTGGTCAGATTCAGGGATCAGCAATTGGTAAGGCAACAACCAGAGAGAGGAGAGATGGCTTTCCCAGCTTGTGGTCGGGCAGGGAGACTCACAGGCTATGGCAGTGGCACATGCAACAAGTTGGTATTTTTAAGGGTTGTGTAATTTTGTAATCAGTGATGCTTGCAGAGGTCAGCACAGCTTATCCCAAGCTCTTGCTCTGAGCATCCTTGAAATTTGGTCATGGGTTTATATTCAGGCTTTGTTCAGCTTCTCTTTGAAAATCACTTGCTTAGTATATGTGGCTGGTCATTGGATCTCTTCTTTTAGCGCCATGCTCCCAGGCATCACAAAGATTTTCCTCTACGTTCAGTAAAAGCAATTAGCTGACTTCACCATGGAGTCTCTTCTCAGTGGACCCAGCTGAAAACACAGTATCAGCTTGATTTAACTCTGAGGACAAAACTGTATTCTTAAATTGTGACCCAATGAAACTTAATTCAAGGATTGTCATTGACCTAAAAATGTCTAGTATTTCACTTGAATTTGCTCCTGAGTGTGAACGTCAGCTGTGCTTCAGCTAGCATAGCCCCTGTTTTGCAAATACACCCACCTCATTCGTATGGATAGCTGCAGCTTTCCGCATTAAGGCTTTGACTTGTGCTCCTTAGGGCTTTGTTCAGATGTTGGAGGTGTCGAGCACAGCACCTCTGCAGCCAGGGACAGGTGAACCTCCCCTGTGCAGAGGGGCTTGTTATGTCCGTGATTATCAGCCAGATATCTGGCTGCTGTGAAAACCCCGGAGCTGGCTAGATCTTCAGGGCCGTGTCTTAGAGAGGCTCTGGGCTAGAGTCCTGTGAGCCATGCCTTAAGATGGAATGGTGGCTCATACCAGTCTCTTTCTTTGCTCATTTTCACTGGAGAATGTAGGTTCTGTGGAGTTCTGCTTTTGCAAATATCCAAATTTCAGTGGGATCCTGCCTTGCATGATGAATTTTGCACCCACTGGAAGTATTAATAATTAATTATTTGCAATAGGAAGAGCCCCAGATTTGGAAGTAGTTGCTGTCATTTATTTTAATAATGACAATTTAATGGCTGAGCGTACTGCTGTAATTTCTGGCTGGGTTCTTAATCTTTAAATAACGAAGAAAATTCTGGATTTGCAGCAGTTGTCTCACCTAAGGATGGTAGGAAAATAAAGCTTATATTGTATTGTTTCTAATTCAAATCAAGTTTGATTGTTCAGCCTTATCCTGCACACGTAAGTAACGATGGCATTACTTACATGTGGAAGTGTAATAAAGCATCACTCATCATTTTATGGATGAGAAGTTGGCATGTCTTGGCCAGACAGAATAGGAGATCAGAAATGACTAGTGCCACTGATGCAACGCAGGTCAGTGAAGGAGTCCTATGCTCCTGAGATTTTCTAGGCTGGCCACGGATGCCAGAGCACTGTAGCACAGAGGGAGTATTAGTATGTAAGTAGAGACCTAATTCTCCACTTGTTTGATGAGGAGCCTGCCTACTTCATATCTGTGCTCACATTTTCTCCTCTATATCATTATAAATTTTTTTTGCAAAAGGATCCTTGTGAAATCCTCAGATCCTTGTGGTCTTCACCCGGTCCTTTTTCTTGTCTTTGCCAGGGCAAATCCCCAGGCAGGGATTGTCTTTTGTCATGTGGTGCTGCAGTGCTTAAGGTAGTGAGTACTTATGTCACTTAGGACTTTTGTGCACTAGCATAAAAGAATCTTAAATTAAGCCAGTTCTGCCACTGCTTTCCTCTGCAGTTTCAGGCAGGCTGTGCAAGCTCTGTTCATCCTGTTCCTTTATCTGCAGTGTTGAGATATTACTGCTAGAAGTCACTTGCCCAGAAGTGGCCAGAGTGTTATGATGGTAAGGAAACCTCACGTTGTGATTCCACTCAGTTTCCCTCTTTTGTTCCTTTTATTATATGGTGGGTGGATAATATTAACAGATAAAATTAACTATTTTTTCATGCTTTGCATTTCTCAGGTTGTGTTTATGTAATTTCAGTGTTTTTCCACCTTTGTTATCAATAGGGTTAAGTATAAGCTGTTACCTGAGGAGTTTTCCTATTGATGATGGGTTTATGAAATTCAGATAAGGTTCAGTGTAATTTTTGAAGTAACTTATGTGGTTCTCAGTGGAAACAGAGACCTCATGGGACTATTAAGCACATGGATTATCAGCTCCCAGTGATTTTTCAGCAAAATTTGGTTATTTCCATGTTTAGAGCATGGGCATATCCAGTTGCTGGTTTAATATATTATCACTCAGGAGCTGTGCCACACTAACTAGCTGTCAACAAACTCAAACTGAAATGTAAGTTGCATCAGCCTGAACTTTTTTTATGAGAACAAAGTTGGTAAGGAATCTGATATATCTGGCTGGGAGTTCCGGGATCTTAAACAAGACCTGTGTGTCAGCCATTATAATGGCTCAGTAGGACTCGTGTAGACAATAAGTTTCTGTGGCTAGTCCTAAAGTCAGAATTATTTGGGGAGTCTAAGTTCCCAGTGCACTGGCTGGTTGAGCTTTACTCATGATTGCACTTTTCCTGTAGAAAAAAAAAGAATATCCTAGGAATAAAGCTGTGGAATCACGTAGGTGTATCAAAATGTTTCAGTTAAAGTATAACAAAAAGAATGAGATGAATTTGCTACAACTGGACGTTTCTTAAGGTCGGATCCTTGAGTTTCACCGGTTGGAATAAAAACTTTTGAAATAACCCCAATATTTTTCAGTGTCCATAAAAGGACCGTAAAGACAGAGAGAGTACTATAGAAACACCCTGCAAAATATCCAAAAAGGAGAATAGTCAAAGGAGGATTCCCTTTAGTAGTTTGATTCTTTTGGAGTGCCTGAATTTCCACATGGGTGATTGAAAAATCATCTTTGGTTTGATATGAGAGGCCAATCAGAGACTCAGCAGATCTGCCTGTGGTAAGGAGTCTTTGATAGACTTCCTGTGAGCACAACTGGAACTGAACACAAAATAACCGAAGACACTGCTGAGTGTGTCCTCAAGTGCGTGCGGAAAGGCGAAATATTTGGAGATGGTTGTTCAATATGTGATTCTTGTCCGTGTTTTGATGGTTTATTGGAGAAGAGAGTCAGATCTACATGGTAGGAACCCTCAGCTTTTGGGAGTGACCTTCATCAGGTCTGAAATGTTTGGAAGTTACAGTCATGTCTGCAGAAGTTCAGTCTTGTCTCAAGCACTTCACAGCCTCTCAGCTGGTTTATTGGCAGATCGTTCTCTCTCCGTCCCTCCACAGAGGCCTGTGTCCGTGGCCATCAGAGCATCTTCCAAGGAAGTGCCAAGCGATGAAGGAGCTTTATTTCAGGCTATCCCTGAAAGCCTCTGCATACGTCTCAGCAAACTGCAGAGCGTGTCAACACAATCGCTTCAAGGCTTTCAGCTTGCTGGGGCCTCCGTCAGCACGCGCTGCAGCTTCTGTGGACCGCCTCATCAGCAATGCTATGACTATTAATATTTATAAACCTTAAATAATACAGGACTTCAGTGTACCTGAGAGACCATATGTTGGCCTCCAATCCCCAGCAGAGCACCTGAGATCAGTGTGGCTACAACCCTGTCTGATCCACTGTTACAGTCCCAGAAGGGGATGGACGTGGAGCTTTTCCCCTGAGGGCCTCTGTCTTTGGATTTCTCCCTCCTTCATTAGTTACCAGAGCACATCATCTTCATCCTTCAGGGCCAAGCTTCAGGCTTATTTCTTCCCTTTTAGTCTGGAGCCTTTTATCACTGTGCTGTCTATTTATTACAGGGCTGCACTTGGTTGTGACCTCGGTTTGGGTTTTTTTTTCCACCTTTTAGTAAAAATGCATTGATTTGGGTGTGGTTTGCAGGGAGAGAGAGCTCTGAGATTTTAATTATCACTTATTTTTTTTATTTTGGTGGTGGTGGTTTGCCTGAATCTTATGAAGGTGCTTGATAACCATTTGGACACAGATGCCTCTAAATTAATGTATGCATGTGCAAAGATGCATATCAATGAATAATGCATAGTAATAAACAGCTTGGTGACTGGGTTTGGTTCAGAGTGATATTGCATATGGATTAGCCTTAAGGACCCAGATCAGGGGTGTTAATAACATGTATCAGGTGGAGACAGCCGAGCTAAACCTATTGTGTGCTGCACCACTTACCTTTGTGATAAAAATGTCTCTCCTCCCACGGACGCAGCCTGAGCCGGACTTGCAGAGCCATTCGCTGGACTCTGCTGGAACCAGTCCTTCGGAAATGACTCAGGCAACCCTCCCTCCACATCGCCAGCCGCCGGAGCGGTTTATTTCGGTACAAACCCAAGAAAATAAGTCAAAAAAAAAAAAAAAAAAAGAAAAAAAAAAAAAAAAAAAAAGAAATCCTTGACCCACGTAGCTGTACCAGCCCCGAGGAGCAGGAGGGTGTGTTAGAGCCCAGCAGCTCATGCAGAAGGCGCTGTGTGGTGGAAAGGGGGCTGGGGGGGTGTGTGTGGGGGGGTGTGCGAGTGCCTGGACGTGGCTCTGACCCATATCCCCCCCGCGGGCCGGGCGGCGGGTGGTGCTGAAGGGACAGCGCCGGCGGCCCGGCCCGGGGGGGCCCGGCTCGCCCCGGCCCGGCCCGGGGGGGCCCGGCTCGCCCCGGTCCGGCCCGGGGGGGCCCGGCTCGCCCCGGCCCCGCTCGCCCCGGCCCGGCCCGGGGGGGCCCCGCTCGCCCCCCTGCCGCTTCGCCTCCGTCCCCCCAGCGGTGTCAGCACGGGCGGGAGCGGGGAGGCGAGGGGCTGCTGCTCTGTCCCCTCCTCTAGAAACCTGCATTTAGCCGGAGCCGCCTTTGGCTGCCTCCCCTGATCCCCCGCAGGGAGAGACTGGGGGCTGCTGGCATTGCAGAGGCTTAATTGACTTGCAAGGTCACTAATTTGGGCTCCTGGAGGTAAGTCCTGGTTCACGGCTCATTTTCCCCTCTCCCTCGTTTCCCACACCCCTCTCCCATCTGTCTCTCTTTCTCATTTTCTCTCCAGTGCCATCAATCAACCCTTTTCCCCTTCTGAAGAGGCTCTACCCGAGTCACGGCACCAGCGATGCCCCAAAACCCAGAAAGATGAGTCAGCGTTTTGCCTCCCTCTAACCCAACCGCGATCTCATCTGCTCCCCGCCCTCCGGCTCCGCTGCTTTGAGAAAAGTGAGGAACAATAGGATTCCCGGAGCACTCCCCGGCTCCACCATTGCGGGGCTAGGGGAGGAAGGGGAAAGGGTGGTGGGAGGAAGGAAGAAATCTTTTTCTCCCTTGCCTTGGGAACACGCCTCCAGAGCAGCCGGAGGTGAGGGGGGTGCTCGGTCCCCATCAGCCTCTGTGCAACTTGTAGCAGTAGCAGCACGCTGGGGAAGGGGAGGGGGGAAAGGGTGTGTGTGATGGGGGCTGTTGCTCCAACCTGATCGAGTCCATTTGCCAATTCACCACTCGCATCACTTCCGGAGCAGTCCTCAGTTTCTGCTGCAGAGTGAGGATTTTTTTTTTTTTTTTTTTTCCTCTCTCCTTTTCCCTCCCTCCCCATCTGGATGCTGGGAACTCAACACCTCCTCCCTTGATTGCAGCAGGATCTGCCCCAACCTTCCCTCAACTTTGCACTGCATCAAAGAAAACAGAGCGAGCCACAGGCTGTGTTGTACCGATGGGGGCAGCGGACCTGCCAGGCACAGCCCTTTGCAACTGATGTTGCTGTATCTCTAGGACCCAGAGCGATCTCTCTTTTTTTTTTTTTTTTTTTTTTTTTTTTTTTTTTTTTCCCCTCACCTCTTTTAGTGTGTGTGTGTGTGTGTGTGTGTGAAGGATCCTCCTGGTTACCGCTGTTATTATTTTCCCTTAGCAGGGAGACCACACGAGCCATGGCTGAGAAAAAGCAGTCTGGCCGGCAAGGCGAGGAAGAAGAAATGCCAGCCTTCTTCAAAAACCTGGGCTCGGGCAGTCCCAAGCCCCGGCAGAAATTCTGTGGCATGTTCTGCCCGGTGGAAGGCTCCCTGGAGAACAAGACCATCGACTTTGACTCCCTCTCGGTGGGCCGCGGATCTAACAAAGTCGTGGCAAAGCAGAAGGATGTTGCCCACCTGGGTCCGGATGCTCAGTCCGTCTATTCCAGGCAGAGCGGGAAGGGAGGGGAACCATCTGTTGATTTCGGGAGAAAGGTGGAGATCAGGAGTGCCACTGGGAAGGAGGCGCTGCAGAACCTGAATGACAAGGTGGGTGCATATATACAGATATGTGTGTGTGAGATGCAACTTGAACACGCGACAGGCTGCAGAAGGGATGCATCCTTTCCACCCTGCAGTTTCTTGATTTTATGTCCCTTGCATGTATGTGGCAGTCGATGTTCTCCTCTAAGAAGCAGCACCTCTACTAGAGCATTCTTGCCAGACCTCTAATGTTATCTGTGTGCTCTCTGCAGGTGTGTGTGTATGTGCACAGGGAGCAGGGCAGAAGAAGAAAGGAGCCCCTGCACCCACAAACACCTTCCCTTTCCCCACCCTGCCTTCCTATTTGGTGATAGGGATGGACTTTTTTTGTTTCTTAGGCAATTCCCCCCAGCTCAACAGTAGCAAAATGCCCCACCCAGCTAGTGAATGCAGCTCAGAAATGCAATTGTTAGCAAAAGAGCATCAATGAGCCTCCACCTACAGGGATCAAATCCCTGCAGGCTTCTTCCAGGGGAAACTCCTACCCCCTTCTCCCAGGGGAGGACAGACTCCAGAGTGACCCCTGGGATCTGTATTTCAATGCCAGTTTTGATCAAGGCCTCTGGCTACAGTGGGAATTTTTGCCTCGGAAGATCTGGGACTTTCACAGGAATGTGGCTTTCTCTTAGAAATCCACTGAACTCCTCCCAGTCTTTTAAGACTCCTGAAGCTATTTTCTCACTCTCTGTATGTGTTATGGTATAATAAAGCCTATTCTCTTCCTGAGGCAAAGCCCATTCAACCCATAGGTCTAGCTGACCGTGCACATTTGCTTTCCTCCATAAATAGATTTAAGCAAGCTTTATTCAGATCTGAGCCATGAAATACTCTGTGTGTTCCTCTGACAATGCTGGCTCCTGTGCATAGGCTGGAAGAGTGGAAATGAATGAAGCAGCCACCAGCAAACTGATAAACTCCTAGCATACTGGGAAAGAGTTTCTGTGAGTAGTCCCCCAGCGGGTTTATGGAGCAGTCCATCCTTCTGGAAGCTGTTTCTAGCATGTGCCTCCTGATTTTTAATAATGGTATGGATTGCATACATGGGGCAGAAGTCTGCCTGGAATTTATAATCTGGGCTTGATCGCCACTTTCTCCTGCTTTCAGAGATGTGAAGTATTACTAGGGGTGTTACTGGGGACTCATCCTCCCCAGATCAGACTCTACTCTGCTTCTCCCTACTGCAGTAACCCAAGGGCTCCCTCCAGCCATATTTACATGGGTGAGCAACTGCTGTTTACGCTGAGATCACAAAGGTAGGCCCTGATTTTTGGAAGTGCTATTCACCAACCTTATAATTAGGAGTGGGATACACTCCACGTCGCTTCAAATCCGATTTGCCAAACCCAGACAAAAGTTTGCCACTACAAATGCCTATGGTTTGATTTGACCATGTTGAAGTGCCTACTAACTTTCCATGATTAATTTGTCTTGTTGGTCTACCAAAGAGCATCTCAGGAATAAAGGGTATACACCGTTTCAGCTTTGTGAGTCAAAGGTTTTGGAATTCAGGACGTTTTCAGAACTCATTTTGGACAATTTGATGCGGTGATGTCCTGCAGGACCTAAGTATAAACAGGTGATATATTAATTCTGAAAAGATTAATTATTTTGTGATTGGAGGGTACCAGTATAATAAAAGACTGCAAGTACAATATGGTGAAAAATTAGAAGTCCACAGAGAATATTAATCACATTTTTTTTTTTAAGTGTGTCTTTTGGTTCTATATTTAAAGATTGTCATATTAATGTTGACTGAGGGTATGAAATGACTGGATAGTGCAAAATATTTGAGTTGTTTCTCATTAGCTTTATATAACACTGATGCCAATGGATTGTGTAGTGAGGGGTTGTGAGCATTTGGGTAAGTGTAGTCTTTTATTATAGATGTCTTGCTATGGATTGGCATTTTATTGAAGGAGTGTTTTAGCTTTGATTTTCCAGCAGACTGCATCTATAACTGGAATCACTGGTTAAATACTCAGCAGGCAAAACTGGCTTTACTTCAGTGTAGTTGATAGAAGTGTGTTTGTGATGATAATCAAAGCTCAATATATCAAAAAAAAGGTAAAGAAAAATAATGTTGCAGGAAGTGGCATTAAAGAAAGTGGTGCATTAAAATAATTTCTGATTGGAGTTAAAAGGCTTCTGAAGTTTTGCAGCTTAATTTGGCCCTTTATTTTCAAACCTCTATCTTAAGCATTTAATAACAAATCTGAATTAGGGTCTCTCTGGAGAGACTGTACACTATTTCCATGTGATAGGAATCTAAACTGTAGTGGAAAGGAATAGTATGCTAATTTATAGGATCTTGAATTTATAACTTGCATTAATTATTTCACAATAGGCTGGAAATCTTACTGCTTCTTTTTCCTTAGCGTGAAGCTGACAAAAGTTGCAGTTTTTATCAATGCTTGTAACAATTGGCATATGGGACGGCCCATGCTCTGTTTCAGGAACCAAAGGACCATATCGTGAGCTGATGGGAATGGGTGCTGATTGACTGGAGGCAGTGGAGATAGCTGGAAGTATTTTAGCCAGTGACTGGCTCCAAAGTGGATTTAAAAGAGCCATCCTTTCTGTCACTGGATAGAAAGATCTTGTATTAATCTCCACTGAAATAATTATCAAAGCAAGATGAACAAGCTATTTTTTATTTTCCCGAGTTCTTAACTGTCCAGAGGATAAAAAAAGGAATGTAATTATTCCACATTAAATTGCAATATATTGTTCTGCAGGCCAAGATACGGGTAATCAAATCTCTTTGCGTCTATCCTGTCTAGGGTATTCTATAGGCATCTATCATGGCCTCGCTTTATTGCCTCAGGGCCAGGATGCCTCATAATTCAGGGTTAAGATCATCTCCAGAGGCACCAGGAAGACGCTCAATCTTAGTTTAAGCAGCTCTTTCCAGTTAGGCCTCTGGAGGCAGTGTGACCTATTCAACAGGTCTGCAACTCAGCAGATCTGAGGCAAGCTCTGCTACTTCCCAGCTGCCAGGCCCTGGAGAATTAGCTGTGCTTCTATTTCCCGTCGTAAACTTTGTCATCTTCTCCGCTTGGACTGTTCATGCCTGGTCCTGGAGCTGCTTGTTCAATGTCTGAGCAGTGCTCAGTGCTTCGAGGCCCTGACCTCAGCTGGGCCACCACTGCAGTCTAACAAGAACATTCAAAGCCACGATTTCTTGAAAGAGACAGTAAACACTTGGCCTGGCTTTCATGACTTGCTGTGCACCTGCAAGCCCATTTCCTATGGTGGGATTTGGTATTTAGACAGCATCAGGGCAGGGACCTGTGGAACTTACTCACAGCACTGCTTTGCAGTAGTCAGTGCAGAAGCTGCAAACTGCCTTATCTCAGAGCAAGGGGACTAATAAAATGGCTTCCCAGGGCATTAGGCCTCTCTTCCTCAGATGAACAGTCTTGAGACACGTGCGTTCATCTGGGTCTTGAAAAGCCTTGGCCATCGCTTGCTTGACCTGGGTCATTTGTCTGTATTTCCCACATTTCCCATGTATATAATTGGTACTCCTTCTGTCTTGTTCATCTGTTGAGATTCTTTGGGAGAGACACAGTCTTTCAGGGAACATCTATAGGGAAAAGCAAGGTTTGGTTTCAAGAGGGATCAGCAAGCCTGGGGCTTGCTTTAATTTAGTTTGCATAGAGAGCCTGACTAGGAGCTAAGATACTTCAACAGCAGTACAAGCCCTGGGTCCCCAGATCTCTTCTTGAGTTGCTAGCTAAAGTTCCCATTGCTGTGTTGTCATTACTCCAGTGAGTCTGGTGGTTCCCCTGGGCAAGTCAATCACCTTTACATACCATTTTGCATCCCTTAGAAATGGCTCGTGGACCTTTGGGAAGTGCAGAGCACTGGGTGTGAACTACTGGTCTAACCCAACAAAGCTATGTCCTATTGTAATACGATAAGTAACAATAATGAATAAACAGAGACTATGAAAATATTTTTATTTTAGAATTGACAGGAGAGGAATCACTTGCAAAACAGTGTCATGAAGCTTTTGACACGACTGGACTTTTCGCTAAGACCTCAAAGTTCTCACCATAATGGTTGTTCATTCCTGGAGAGAAATAATGAAGAACAGGACATTGTTGAGAGCTCAAATAATCATATACTCTGGAACATTAATGGAACTGTTGTGTAAAACAAAGAAGCTGTTCCAGACAGCTGGAAATGTAGTTCTGAGTTTAATTTGTTACAATGCCTGCAATTTCTCTAGCCTTGTTTTGACAATTATTGCTTGCAAAATAATCATACAGGAGGATGACTTGCTTGTTCTTCCAATGGATCATAATAGTTTGTCTGACTACTGAAAAAAAAAGCCATAGAGAATCTAACAATAATGAGCACAAATGCCAAATTCCTCTCAACTTTTAGACCCCTCTCAAAGCCATCAATCTGCATAGCGGGGAGGGGCCATACATCCAAAGGGTGTCTTGTGGAGTGGTCTGTTAGTGTTATATCAGGATTTTACCAATCCCACACTCTCTCTCAGCAGAAATGAGCATGTGGCTTTGATACTGGGCCAAAGACTGGAGGGAAAACTTAAATACCTGGGGCCAGATCTCCCCACTGGGTTTGGAGCTGAGCCAATTCAGAGGTCTGGTCGTTCAGCAGCACCTTGTGATGCAGGGGGACAGATGCAGTATCTGGCACGATGAGACTGGCAGCTTTGCGTGCCCCGTATGCCAGCGCTATGGCCGCTATTTGACATGAGCCCTCTGTTTCTAGTAGGTGCTAAGCAGTCGTTTAGCTCTGCCTGAAATTTTTTACCTGCAGGACCATGTCTAACTCCCCATATCTCTTGTATGTCTTGTGACACATTCAATCTGAGTCTGTCTTGTGTGGTCGAGTTATACATTTGGGAAATGATGTAGGCAGCAAAGCTTACGTGAAGTTGATATGTGTGTTCTGCGTGAACTCTCTTCTCCTAAAAAGGGACAGCACCTGGGTTAGTATTGGGACCAGTGCTGTTTAACACCTTTGTTGGG